AAAACCAAAATTTTATTACAGATTCGGGGTCCTCTCGCTGAGCGCAGAACGACCCCGGTTTCAAAAAATAAAAAATAAAAAACATTCTGGGCAGTTTTCTGGGCCGCCCGGGTTGGTCGCCCCGGGCCCAACCGGCCGGGCGGCGTCCTCACTCAGTCAAAAACCAAAAACAAAAGGGTTTTTTTTTTTTTCCCAATATGTTCGGCCGTGTGGCCGAACACCCAAACATGTTCGGACGTTCGAAAAAGCTCCGAACATGTTTGATGTGCTACACAACACTGAACAAAGCATAAAAAACAAAGACAAAGACACGTTGAAAATTTGAAATCATTCAGTTTCTCAGTCTTCTTAACTCCTCCACCGTGCCTCTAACGTACAAGGCTCGCCACGTTGATGAAGTTGGGTGCGAGCTTCCCCCATCCCCATACCATGACAGCCCACTTACACGCTTTGGGAAAAAAACAGAGTGAAGGAAGAGGTGTTAAACACAAGGAAGAGAGAAACAGAAAAAGAATCAGAAAAGGAAAATCAATAGGCAGAGGGAGAAAAAAAAAAAAAAAGTTGACACAAGCATCTTCTTTCTTTAACTGCATTCTTCATTCTTTCACAGTTTTGCAGTTTTGGTGAAGAGTCTACCACGTTCGCTTTTTATTCTCATGTTCACCCTTCGGACTTTTTCTTTGAGGGTGTTAGGGTGCAGGGTACAAACGAAGTAAAATGACACATTATGTTCTTCTTTTACTGCATTCTTCACGGATTTGCAGTTTTAGTGAAGGGTTTCCCACCTTTGCACATTCTTGTCCACTCTTTTCAGCGCACCTGCACATTTTTGTCAGGGTGCAAGGTACGTCTAAGTAAGACCCTCACGACAGATAGGACAACTATCACAAGGATGCGGGTGATAGTAGCAGCCCTCCTGCTGATCTATAGCGCTCGTAGGCACAAATGGGACATATTGCATCTGGATGTAGAGGATGTTCACAATCCGGATACAGGTGGCATCCCTGCCGACAGCGGGCCCGAAAAATCATACGGTTATAGTGATGTCGACAAAGTCGATGCTTTCCATAACCAAGTTTAACTGTGTCAGTGATCTCACAAAGAAGGAGGTCACAATGTGTTAGTGCAGCATCTGGGGGAATGAAGACTAAAGCAGGCACAGTGACAGACATGGAGGTATATATCGTCAAATAGAACTGCCCGGTAAACCGTAGGCAGAGAGGGAGAAGAGGACAACAAACGAGGGGCTGTATATATATAGGGTTCAGCCTCCTGATGAGTCGGTGAAACTCCGA